TTTGAGAAGGAGTTTCACTCTGTTGCCCAGGCTGGAGTGCAGTGATGCGATCTCGGCTCACTGCAACCTCCACCTCCCAGGCTGAAGCAATAATCCTGCCTCAGCCTCCCGAGCAGCTGGGACTATAGGTATGCGCCACCACATTCAGCTAATTTTTGCCTTTTTAGTAGAGAAGGGGTTTCACCATGTTGGCCAGGCTGGTCTAGAACTGCTGACCTTAAGCAATCCACCTGCCTCGGCCTCCAAAGTGCTGGGATTACAGGTGTGAGCCACTGCACCCGTCCAACTCCATGTACATCAAATCGAATTATATTTAATTTAACAAAAGGGAAGTTTCTATGAAATTCTATTACAAGCCTCCAATTTTTATATGTTAACTGTTTGTTTAAGAGAACTAAATATAAATAAGGGTAATTATAAACATGAGATAACAACCCGATAAGTTTTAATTATAAATCCATTTCCTTAAGAGCAACGAAATATAGAATCTACAGTAAGACTAGGAATAACTCACTTCTTTTTTTTTTAACATGAGAAATAGTTAACATATTAAGTTTTAAGAGGCTGTGATCAGTTAAGCCAGTATAATACCAACATACTGGCTTATTAAAGGCATTTGCACAGCTAAATTAACTCCAACTGAATTATCAATCATAAAGTATTCATCCCAGGCTGAATTTTTTCTGCCACTTATGTTTTAGGGTAATCTTATCTCAGCATCAAGAAGTCTATGTTATAATAAAACACATATCCATTTCAAACTAAGCTAATTTTAACCTATAAATCTGCCACAAATAAATTTTCAAGAGAGACCCTGTTGTTCCTTTCTCCCACAATGGCTCTCAAAATTAGTAAAATTCATTAGAGACAACTATAATTTTAACAACCAGTTACTAATATGGACAGAATCAAGCATGTGAACTCTGAAGCTTAGAGGGGGACTGCCCTTCCTTTTTCTGATGATAAAACTGAAGGAGTCGGTGCCTTGCCCATGATCCCTACCTGTACCCAGCAGAATCAGAATGAGAACTCAGAACTCTAAACTCTGAAGCTCAACCCATTTTCTCCTAATACTATTTAAAATGTCTTCTGCAATAAGTTATGATGTAAGAAAACTGTAACAATATGCATCATATAATTTCTCAATAAAAAATTAGAACTAAGTCAAGTGGTTTTTAAAGGTCTTTTTTTCCAAAATGGCCTAACATTGTTACTTCGTGGCATTAACAAATTTAAGAGTAATAAAAAATGCCATTACATAATAAAATAAAATAAATACCTTAATAGAATTTCCAGTGTGTAGAAGCTTCTTTAAAGTTGAGCCTGAAAGTTTAAAATAATGAGTTAGAAATAGAGAGGGTATATAAATGCATATCAAAGACCTATTTTAAGAAGAAACTATATGCTTATGACAAAAATATAATTTTTAAAAATAAAAGGAAGAGGGTTGACCTTCAGAAACAAAGCAATGTCACAGAGGGAAAGACGTTTTTAAGATAAAAGTACTTTAAGTATGTACCACTTCACAATTCTTTTAAAACAGTCAAAATGATTGATATTAAGGTAAGCCAAATGCCCACAGTGGATTATGTACAAATATCTCTTGTCATGCATAAAATGGATGCTTTTTTTAAAAAAATCTCTAAAGGTAAAAATAATATAAAACAACTGCTCACAAAACATTTTTACAAGAACATTTTACGAATACTCAGAATGGCATGTTTCTCTCCTGGCAATGACAACTACATTTATGAGATTTGGACCATCAATAAATCCTCTAACAGAGTGCTCTGGTCACTGTCAAGGAAGCACAATCAAGGTTGACTCGGAACTCCAGTCAACTACAAAAACTTTGATGCTGCAGTCCACTAGAATGAGAAAAGCTTCTCTTAGGAGGATAGAAGACTGTTACTAAGTCATCTATAAGTATATTCACGACTTCAGTATGGAGACAACAACCCAACCTAAATATCTTATGTAGCCTCTAAAATCAATAAATCCAGGAGCTGGTTTTTTGAAAAGATCAACAAAATGGCCAGGCCGCTAGCCAGATTAATAATAAAGAAAAGAGAGAAGAATCAAATAGATGCAATAAAAAATGATAAAGGGGATTATCACCACCAATTCCACAGAAATACAAACTACCATCAGAGATTACTACAAACAACTCTATGCACATAAACCAGTAAACCTGGAAGAAATGGATAAATTCCTGGACACTTGCACCCTCCCAAGCCTAAACCAGGAAGAAGTTGAAACCTTCAATAGACCAATAACAAGGGCTGAAGTTGAGGCAGCAATTAATAGCCTACCAACCATAAAAAGCCCAGGTCCAGATGGGTTCATAGCCGAATTCTACCAGACATACAAAGAGGAGCTGGTACCACTCCTTCTGAAACTATTTCAAACAATCCAAAAAAAGGGAATCCTTACCAAATCATTTTATGAGACCAACATCATCCTGACACCAAAACCCGGCAGAGACTCAACAAAAAAAAGAAAACTTCAGGCCAATATCCATGATGAACATAGATGTGAAAATCTTCAATAAAATACTGGCAAACCGATTGCAACAGCACATCAAAAACCTTATCCATCATGATCAAGTAGGCTTCATCCTGGGGATGCAAAGCTGGTTCAACATACGCAAGTCTATAAACGTAATCCACCACATAAACAGAACCAAAGACCAAAACCACATGCTGATCTCAATAGATGCAGAGAAGGCCTTCAACAAAATTCGACAGCCCTTTATGCTAAAAACTCTGAATAAACTAGGTATAGATGGAACGTATCTCAAAATAATAAAAGCTATTTAGACAAACCCACAGCCAATATCATACTGAATGGGCAAAAACTGGAAGCATTCCCTTTGAAATCTGATGCCCTCTCTCACCACTCCTATTCAATATAGTATTGGATGTCCTAGCCAGAGCAATCAGGCAAGAAAGAAATAAAGGGTATTCAATTATGAAAGGAGGAAGTCAAATTGTCTCTATTTGCAGATGACACGAATGTACATTTAAAGACCCCATCGTCTCAGCCCAAAATCTCCTTAAACTGACAAGCAACTTCAGCAAAGTATCAGGATACAAAATCAACGTGCAGAAATCACAAGCATTCCTATACACCAATAACAGACTAAAAGAGAATCAAAGCAAGAGCAAACTCTCATTCACAATTGCTACAAAGAGAATAAAATACATAGGAATACAACTAACAAAGGATGTAAAGGACCTCTTCAAGGAGAATTATGAACCACTGCTCAAGGAAATAAGAGAGGACACAACAGATGGAAAAACATTCCACGCTCATGGTTAGGAAAATCAATATTGTGAAAATTGCCATACTGCCCAAAGTAATTTACAGATTGAATGCTATCCCCATGACCCTCTTCACAGAACTGGAAAAAAAACACCTTAAATTTCATATGGAACCAAAAGAGAGTCCACATAGCCAAGACCATCCTAAGCAAAAAGAACAAAGCTGGAGGCACCATGCTATCTGACTTCAAACTATACTACAATGCTACAGTAATCAAAACGTTTGGTACTGGTACCAAAACAGAGATATAGATCAATGGAACAGAAGAGAGGCCTTGGAGGCAACGCCACACATCTACAGCCATCTGATCTTTGACAAACCTGACAAAAACAAGCAATCGGGAAAGGATGCCCATTTAATAAATAGTGTTGGAATAACTGGCTAGCCATGTGCATAAAACAGAAACTGGATCCCTTCCAGACACCTTATACTAAAATTAACTCCAGATGGATGAAAGACTTAAACATAAGACCTAATACCATAAAAACCCTAGAAGAAACCTAGGCAAAACCATTCAGGACATAGGCATAAGCAAGGACTTCATGACTAAAACACCAAAAGCATTGGCAACAAAAGCCAAAATAGACAAATGGGACCTAATTAAACTCCAGAGCTTCTGTACTGCAAAAGAAACAATCATTAGAGTGAACCAGCAACCAACAGAATGGGAAAAAATGTTTGCAATCTACCCATCTGACAAAGAGCTAATATCCAGAATTTACAAAGAACTAAAACAGATTTACAAGAAAAAAAAAATTCAGAAATGGGCAAAGGACATGAACAGACACTTTTCAAAAGAAGACATATATGAGGCCAACAAACATGAAAAAATGCTTATCATCACTGGTCATTAGAGAAATGCAAATCAAAACCACATTAAGATACCATATCATGCCAGTTAGAATGGTCATCATTAAAAAATCTGGAGACAACAGATGCTGGAGAGGCTGTGGAGAAATAGGAACACTTTTACACTTGTTGGTGGGAGTGTAAATTAGTTCAACCATTGTGGAAGACAGTGTGGCGATTCCTCAAGGACCTAGAAACAAAAATTCCATTTGACCCAGCAATCCCATTACTGGGTTTATACCCAAAGGATTATAAATCGTTCTATTATAAAGACATATGCACACGTATGTTCACTATGGCACTGTTTACAATAGCAAGGCCTGGAATCAACACAAATGCCCATTGATGACAGACTGGACAAAGAAAATGTGGCACATATACACCATGGAATACTATGTAGCCATAAAAAATGATGAGTTTGTGTCCTTTGTAAGGTCATGGATGAATCTGGAAACCATCATTCTCAACAAACTGACACAAGAACAGAAAATCAAACACCGCATGTTCTCATTCATAGGCGGGTGTTGAACAGTGAGAACACATGGACACAGGGAGGGGAGCAACACAAACTGGGGTCTGTTGGGGGGTTACTAGGGGAGGGACAGTCAGGGGTAGGAAGGTTGGGAAGGAATCACATGGGGAGAAATGCCAGATATAGGTGTCAGGGGGATGGAGGCAGCAAACTACACTGCCATGTATGTACCTATGCAACAATTCTGCATGATCTGCACATGTACCCCAGAATCTAAAGTACAATTTAAAAA